CTTGGTCTAACAACAGCCATAATCCCAGCTCTTTCTGCAGTCTTCTCCCATCTTAATATTTTCAGTTGCAGTGGCTTTTATCTCAGAATGACGGAACAGTGAAGTAAATGCTTCAGACTGTAAAATTATATGCTGCATCTGTGAGTAGACTTCATATTGATTTCATTCATGACCACCTACACAATGAAATCTGCCTGTTTAAAGGTGAATTACATGCTCTGCAAAACCACACGATACAAGATATGGTGGGCAGATTCTTGCATCTGGGAATATTTGGCAGAATTTTTTCTCATGTGAAAAAGTAAGGATTCATTAAATAGGAAAAAAATTAAAAAGGAATTCGGATCTCTAACAAAACCATTAGCTGAGCAGAACCCTCTTCTTGGCCGTGATCATCCACCAATCATCCACCTAATATTCCTGTAGAGCAGGGGTTCCTCAACCCCCGGCCTATGGACTGGTACCCGTCCATGGCCTGTCAGGAACCGGGCCACACAGCAGGAGGTGAGTGAGCAAAGATTCATGCATAGGCATAACCTCCACAATCCCCCTACTCCTTCTGCTCATGGGCTGCCATGGCACTGAGGCGCAAGAGGAGGAGGCAGGACATCAAGAGTGCTCTGACCAACCAAATCCAATCCCTTTTGAATGGGCTAAAGCTCCTCTGCCAGACACCTTGTTTCTCCAGTGAGATGATGATGTGAGCTGTCCTACGATCAATAGTATCCAATGGCACATGTGGACTGTGGCTTGGGCATGGGGCAAGCACTCCAATAAAAAAGGTGGAACAACTGGGCCTTAGAGCAATAGGATTGAGGTAAGAGAGTGAGGCAGGCCTATCCATTTTTTCCACTTTGTCATATGAAAGCACGAACTTTACTGTAAACTGCGCATATGAGGGATCTAGGCTGCATGCTCCTTATGAGAATCTAATGCCTGATGATCTGAGGTGGAGCTGAGGCGGTGAGTTGTATAATTATTTCATTATATATTACAATATAATAATAATAGAAATAAAATGCACAATAAATGTAATGTAGTTCAATCATCCTGAAACCTCCCCCCACCCCCCACCCCCCTGGCTCGGGGAAAAAAAATGTCATCCACGGCACCAGTCCCTGGTGCCAAAAAGGTTGGGAAGGCTGCTGTATACAAATATTAGTGTCAGGATTTGAACTGCTCCGTGGCGCCATCTGCTGACAGAAACAAAATAGCTGCAGCAGTGAGTGCAAGACTAGGTCCCTGGCGCAACTGGAGTTTTCTGACCCCAAGCAGCAGCAGCAGCAGCAGCAGCAGCTGGGAGTCTGGAAGGAAGAGCTATACAAGAACAGGCTCTTCCCGCTACTCTTGATTTCTGCAATGAGGGTCTTCCTGATTTGTTGTGGTGCTTTGTGTCTCCTGGACTTTTGCTGCCTAGATTCCTGCCCTGTGTTGCTGACAATGACTGTCTGTTTGCCCTAATCCTGGAGCCGGCCAGCCAGCTTTACCTCATCCTGGCACCTGTGCTTATCCAAACCTCCTTGTGTTCCTGTTCTTTCCTTGGCCTTGCCTTCCTGGTATTTGACTTCTGGACTGTTCCTGGACCACATCCCTGCTTCTGGTCCCTAACTGGGCTCTGGACTATTCTTGGATGATACCTTTTCCTCTGGCCCCTCTGTTGGATTCAGCCCGGTCTTGTGCTTTGTCACCTGGGTCCTGGTGTCCTGCCTTGATCCCAGCTGCCTATGCCCTGGACCCTGAAAATTATCTGCATCCAGAAAGAAGCTGCTGAGGGGGTGGATGCTCACTGTAGTAGTGCTGAGGTTGTGCCCTGAGGTCTTTGACAAATCATCCCCTAAAATCTAAGAATGGATGGGGGGCAGTGGCCTAATATTTTGATTACTTGGGTTAAAAGAACTGAGTTCTAGGTTGAGTGCCTGTGAGTATTTCTGAACACTACCAGCAATGGCTGCCATTGTGATGACCACTTCACCCTTCTTAGGGCTATTTATGGATTTCAGTAGCGAACAAGGAAGGAAAACACTAAACATTCATCAAAGCTGTTATCAATATCCTGAGCTGGCCTCCTTGGATATTTTTCTTTCAGGGTGAAGAACCATATCCATCATTTTATCCCTGAATGCTCTGTAGTTAGTAAAGGATCTTAAACTTGTAGAGATTGTAAATTCAGGGATGGGATATATGCCTTTTATTTTCTTTGTAGAATGCCAGTGATATAAGGCAATAATAATCAACTATGACTCAATTAATACCTTGGTAAGTGACTTCCCTGATGTTGGATGCACAGTACGGCATGCCCAGAAATATTGGTGGTGATTTCTTCATTCCTGGTGGTGGGGAGGGCTGAGGGGAATTAACAGTTTATTAGATTTTTCTAATTTTTCGAAATGATACAAACAGTAAACTCTTTCCTTTTTTCTAACATTTTAGGTTTTCCTTTCCTTTCTTAATGCTGTCCTTTATTTAAAGATTAAAGTTTTCATGTCTACGAGTGAAACTGTTAAGTAAAAATTGGATAAATGAATTGTTACATAAGAAAAGAGTTGTGTCAAGTACATCTCTTTGCTTGCTGGCACTTGTTTTGCAGCAAATCACATAACTGCATACAATTAGAGAAAATTTTCCCACATCAATTGGAATTTGAGATATTGTTCCTTTTCATGGTCAGTTAAAGTTAATAGGTCCAGGATTCAACTGTGTATTTTTTGGGATTTTCCTTTCAGGTGTTGTAAATATATGTTGCTGTTAGTGTGGCTTTACTACGCTGTGCAACATGCTTCCTTGCCAAGTTCCATTTGCCCAGAATGTATCCATGGTCATCCATTCCATTGAATTATGTTACCACATTGGTCCTGATTAGGACCTCAATTTGCAAAGGCATCAGTACTGGGCAGCTGCACAGTATAAGTACCAAATTGAGATAAATTACATACAGGAAAGCTTGTGGTTGATATACAGTATTTGTCAGTATCTAAGCTGCTATAACATTGTTGTTATTACTATATGGGCATTTCTCTGCTCTAGAGTGTGAGATCAATGGGTGATTCTGTAGAAAAAGCAGGCACCTAGGTGGACAATAAATTCTTTAACAGGAATGCTTTAGCTGGATTTCAGCATCATGGATATCAAGTGATTATCCTCACAACTAAAACTGGAGGATTAGCTGTTTAGCATTGCTAATGAGTGAGGAAAGATCTTAACCTTTCCTGTAGCCCCCCTGTTGTAAACCTTCAGAATTGGTAAAATAACATCTCTGGACATTTACCTATTCCACTTGGATACTTTAGTAGAGTGGAGTACTTATGAAGCAGTTGGCAACAAAAATGATATTTAATTACAGAAATATATATTTGCTTTATCATAACTCATTAACCACCTTTAAAAACTGTAGCATAGAATTACTCTTCCCAGTATTGGCAAGCTCAGTGAGAAGGTGGTCAGCCGGCAAGATTGGCTAGATTTCAGTTTCCAATGTTTTCTATCTATGTTTCCAATGTTTTCTTCCTATGTTTTCTACAGCACTTATTTTGCATTGTAAGCCACAGAAAAGAGCAAAACCTACAACTCCCCTGCACCTTGGTATCATATAGTTATTGCACATCTTCCAGTTCTATCAGGTAAATCAGATTTACTCCCTTTCTATGGAGATGATTACAATTAGTGATGGGTGAACTTACCTTGAATAACAAATTTGTGCGTGTGAGTTCAGCCAAGAGTTACCCTTTAATATGAAGTCCTATTCCGTTGATATGAAATTTTCATCCCATGAGATTTTACACAGGTATAATATAAATGTGCATCTTAATAATTTGGAATCACAGAGTGCAGCAGATGTCATGCATCACCACATTATGTGGCCCTTTTCTGATTGTGTGTGTGGCCTGCACATGCGATGATGTATAGTGTCTACTTGTTATTGCCAGACACAAATATGAAGTTGGACCAGCAGAGTCTTCTGCTCCCTCCTCAGAGCTATAGCTGTGGCAGTGGCGGCAACAACAAGAAGGGAAGTGAATAATGAAACTGCTTCAAATATGCTTTGGCCTAGGATGAATGAAAATTTAGGAGGAGGTGCATCGGAGGTGCACCATTTATGAAATTTGCCCATTATTAGTAGTCATTGTGTGTTTGAATCACAATGTAGAATGCCTTAAGGCATTAATAAGAAATGAGCCTCACCCAAGAATGCGCCATCAACGAATTATTTCAGGAGACAGTAATTTTCTCTTGTTTTGGTTACAGTTATAGAGATTGAAGAAAGGTCCTTTTATAAAAAATGGGCACAGAGGGTGATAACTTATGACTGCATTTAGCCTTGCTTTATATCAGTGATATTTAACAGTTTTCTTCCCCTATGTATAATTCTCTCTATCTCCTCCTATGTTATGAAGCACTAAGTACAGCATAATAAAGTAAAAGACAATGTGTGTAGCCCACAAAGCACAACTTATGAATTAAGTACGAGTATTCATGTATCAGTACTAGAATATTTGATAAATTGGTAACCCAATCTGCTTTCAGGCAAATCTTGGAAAAGGTACAGGATCAAGGATCTGAAAAGGGTTCACTATATAGTTTTTTCCAAGACATATGAATCCATTTGTTCTTTGTGAAAGCTCCAGCTCCTCTGGAGCTTTCCTTTAGGAAGGGAGCGTTTTTCTGCAAGTGAGCAAGACTGCAATTGGAGGAAGCAGTTGCACTAGGTACCAAGAGAGCATACATAGGACTGCACAGCATCAACATTTATTCTGGCAAGTGCGTCATGCATTTATTAAGAGTGCACACAGAGCTCTGAAGCACAGCAGGAAATATGTATATTCACAACACTGACGATGCAGCAAATCTACTCAATTGCATTTTAGCAGACTTATTTATTTTTAAGGAGCAATGGTGAAGCAGAAATTTGACCAAATATAAATTCAAAGCTTTCAGCTACTTCCTTTATGTGCTGTTCCTGCTTACTCAGCATCAGTCCTCTTGCAAGCCCTGCTAATAGTTCCCTATTTCTCATTTATGGAGACATTTCTAAGTGAAGATGTCATCAAATCCACAACATTTTTCTTGGGATTTTCTTCTAAATCAGTTTTTAGAGCACCGACATCTGCCAACTTCCATTCAAGTTCTGAAACAACAAGGAGTATTCAGAAAAAAACCTGAAATAACATCTTAACTAATAGAAGCATTTTTATCTGACAATTATTTATATCATGTATCTATGTATCACCTAGGTGGTGATGTATAGATACATGAAGGAACTCTAGGTGGTGTGCATAGGGTTTCTAGGTCAGAACTGATGGGTTAGAGAAAATGTTTGAGATGAGAACTATTACATTTCAGTGGGTGACTCACCCCTATTTAAATATCCTCCAAAGCAGCCCTTGCAAATAATTATTTGATTAATTTTAAAGCTTTTATATACTGCCCTTCGCTAAGTCCCAGGATGGTGATACAATAAATAAAAGTACAGCATCAACATCAAGTAGAACAAGTAAAACCACAACTTTAAAACATTAATACTTAAAATATCAGGAGAATAAAAAGGGGTTGGCTCAGCACTGAAATGAAAAAATGTTGGCGCCAGGCACACCTCTCTGGAGAGCATGTTCCATAACCAGGGTGCCACCACAGAGAAGGCCCTTCTCCAGGTAGCCACTCTCCTGATCTCTTTCAAGAAGGGCTCCTAAAGAAGGACCTCTGAACCAGATCTTAGGGGCAGGTAGGTATATTAAATAATTATATTGGTGTAATTGTTCCAGAATAGTTTTAATTTATCCCAACTACCACATACTGGCATACTTGCGGCATACCAAGACCCTGAAAGCAAAAAAAGTTTAACCACTTCTGTATTGGGTTACCTGGATATAATTCTTATTTCTCTCAAGTTGGTGTCAGTCCTTTATAAGCCGACCATTAATAATTTAGGGTTGTTGCTGTAATTAGAGGGGCCACATGCCCCTCTTTATAGGGGACAATCCTTTTTCTGAAGTGCTGCCAGAGGACTCTCCTAAAATTTGAAGAAGTTCTCTTTTTGAAGCCTTCAACTCAAGTCTGATATAAAGAACCATTAGAAGGAAGAGCTGGACCTTGAAGTTGCATGTCAGCTGTATCTGGACAGTGGACTGAGCTAAGCCTGATCAGTCATCCATGCCATAGTGAGCTGTACTTTATTTATATATAAACTATAATAATTATTTATACATATGTATCAAGATATATAGTATAGCATAGGCATATTTTATGCAAATAGTCAACCTTTTGTCTTCTCTTTTGGTAATGCATGCCCTCTTTTTGGCAATTCACAAGCGGTCATTCTAAAAACTGTTGCCAAGTTCATATTTGTTCATATTTCAGCTCTCCACCGTATTCAGCTTAGACAAAACTGCTCTGTACTATCTGTGCTAGTCCCTTGCTCAGCTGTCTTTTCAAAATAACCTTAAAAGTAATGCATACTGTTTAGCTGCTCTTCTATCATTAGCAACAGAGGCAGTCCATTTGGCAGAAGCAACTAATTGCATTTATTTGTTTATTCTCTACATTTCTTCCTTGGAAGCTAGCCATTACACTGATCCTATTAATGAATTGCGCATGAAGGCCTTTGCTAGCAGTATCCTAGTCGTATGCTAACTCGGGCATGGGCAGCCTGGAGCCCTAGGTCTCAACAGAACTGAATGTTGTCCTGGGCATAATGCTGAAAGCTCTGCACAGCTCTGGCAAAAGCAAACTTTCTTGGCAGCCTACTGTGTGGTGAAGGAAAGGGAGAAATGGCTGGTTGACCCACTTTTGTTTGTGGTTGTCCCCAAGACCACTGGTCTGGCTCTCCTCATCACTGACATATACCTCTCAACAGATTACCTGTAAGGGAATATAGCCCTCGACCCAAAATAAAAGGTTGCCCACCCCTGCAACTAGTCTCAGCTTCTCCAGCGCTCAGCTAGTCCTAGATGTCTTGTCTGGTTCAGTAGAATCTCTCTAACATAGATACTAGTTGACTTTGCTACAAATGGTAGGACAGTCTGATCTGTTCCTTCACTTGCAGTATACATTGAACACATCTTGCCTTTCCTTGTCAAGTTATGCTGTATCTTTTTGTTAAAATAACAACCATTGATTATGTATCACTGTTATCTCAGTCATTCATTCTTCTTAGGGTGGCCAATTATGAATAACCCCAAAAGAGGAAATCCATCACCAAAACAAAAGAAGATAGCACTTGGCACAATATTTGCACATGCTTATTTACATGCACAGATGTAAAATGGAATATTGTGACCAGGTAAATGTGTTGTCTAGGTGCTAAAGGTGACTGGCAACAGTTCTTATCAGACTTTATCTTTAAACTGGAATAGAAGAGGACAGCACTTCAGACATAGGAAAGGTTCAAATGAAGGCTGGCCTGCTGGCATTCCTTCAAACAGAAGACTACACTCGTAAAAGAGGACTCATGTCTGCTGTGGAATTCATCACATTTTTTTCCAGAATAATGACATATAAGCGAATGCAACGGTGACAATAACCATTCTAAGATTCAAAATGTGCTGGTCCTCATAGAGCTGGGGATGGTAAGGAGGACTTCTAAAGAGATCACTGAGGGGAAGTTGCTATGTGCAAGGCAATGAAATACATTAGGAGATACTGACTTCCTTGTCTCCAGAAGCCATTGCCCTGTGTCAAATTTTACTTGATTTCATGTTCATATGAAAACTTCTGCTCTACTTGGGAGGGGTGACAACCCTTCTGGATTTGTTCAGAGAATCTCTTCCCTTACAATGGCTGACAAAATATTCAATCCTTCCTGATGCTTCAAGACTAAAACTACTTCTGAGCAGTTTTTGTAAAAACTATTGTATACGTGGCAAATTTGTGTCATAATGTGCTTTTCAGTTTTAAACATAGTTTAAATGATGGTGTATGACTTATGGGCTATTAAACCAAATAAACTTGAACAAAATCGGCTGATGAGATTTCTTGGAATTTTGGAGACCAACACACTGCCCTTCTTGTTCAACAGAAAACGCTACAATAAAAGTAATGTTTAATGTGGCATCGATTCGGTGTTTCAGTCTCCACTGATTCTTTTACAAATTGCCATTCAATTTTGCTGTAAAATCAGTGCACCTAGCAGTTTAAAGGCAGCATTTTAATAGTGCTGGCTTGGCTAGACACCTGTCATAGAGAGGCTAGCTAGTGAAATGGGTCTCAGTTGCCACTAGCTTAGCTGCTCTGACCTTAAGAGTTGTTGATGGCTCTTGATGATGGGCTAACCATCTACATCTTAAAGGGAACGAGAAGAAGTACAATGCTAGTGGTTAAGGGGAGGTAATTTGATACCCTCCAGATGTTTTAGAGGCCAATAAGCCTCAGCCAGCATGGCCAGTAATCAGAATTTATGGGAGCTGTATTCCAAAACATCTGGAGGGCAGTAGGTTGTCTATGCCTGACCTAGATAAAGAGGGCTGGTTAAAGAAGTGTATAATAAGCACCAGTTCACAAAAATGACAAAAGGAGGAACTCTGGAAAGGAAGAATTAGAGAGGAATGAGAGAGGGGGAGGAGCAGTAAGGAGGAAGTCGTATGGACAGACATTGCATAGATGAGAGATACTGTTGTTTACATTGATTTGAATTATCCAGTCCAATCTTTGTCTAGAAGCCTGAGTTTGCTAAAATGTTTTGACTGTTACCTTCTACTGTAAGCTGTACGCCTCCACATTCTGTAATTCCAATGAACTTGCCTTTTATCTCTCCATTTTCATACACAAATAAAGTAGGTAAACAATTGTCATGGTAATTTTCAATGCAGCTATCAGCAATGGCTTTCACAAACTTTGTTTCAGGAAACTTTGTGGCCAGTAAGCTGAGGTGTCTATTAATTAATAAACACATTGGAATGCTGGAAAAAATCCCCAAAAGAGAAAATATTTTTCATCATTTTCAAGAAAATACTAGAATATTAGAAAATACTCCATCAGACTGTCTTCATAAATCCATCGTCATAGTGTCACATCAGAAATAGGTTACTTTTGGTTCAGCCCAATTGCTGGGTTTCAGCCCAAACTCCTTGATCAGTTTGGCATATTTCTTATAAGGCTATGCATTCATCAGTGAATGAATTGAGGACTCCCTCCTATAGTGACACCCATGACATAAGATGGTGCCATGGAAGTCCATTCCATATTGATAAGAAAAATATCACAAGAATATTCTTGCTTCTGAACAAAAGTCAGGGCTGCTGATAGGAATGTTGGAGATACCCACAGTGGATTGAAATGGTGTGGGATTTCTATGACTCTGGCCTGTGGATTTCAAGTAGCACAGATTCCAGTTTTTGCTTTTGGGGTTTTCAATTTACTAATGTGAATTAGTGCAAGTTGAGCAAAATTCTGGTGAAAATACGATTATGTCAATAAGTGGACTACAGAACAAAGGACACCTGACGGTCTGCTGAATACAGATTTAACAAACTCCACAGTTCTTAGCTGTTAATAGTATCTTCTGGACCTAGTGTGTTTCTTATATCCCAGTTCCACGTAAAAGGTTATGTGACTTTTAGGTTCCCGTAATAGTTTCACCTATATTCCTGGCCTGCCAAAAGCTGGTAGTTTATAATATGGCCATGGCTTTTGCTGATAAACTGGCTTGTTTCACAATGCTTCCTCTTTTCTGCCTGAAGAAGGCTTCAGAACACCCTGCTCTTTATCAACTCTGGTTTGAACAAAAGGTAGATGCTCTGCCTCTCAACACATAACACGGAGCCATGCGAAACCGGCTGTCTTGGCATGATTCCATTGCAAGCATATAAAGAAATGCTTAACTAAAGTAAAGTGCTGCCACTCACACAGTCGTTCTATAAGAACGTTCTATCTTCTGATGAAGCTGTTTAATTCCATTTTTCCCACGTCCCATGTTTGCAGTCTGAACATAGAGTCTACACTGGGGAAATACATATTTGGTTTGACTAGGGCTTTTGTCTGCTCTGTCATATTCATCACTGGCATACTCCAAGACCAACTAGTCTTAGCTATCATCCATTGTAAAGCAAGCCTTATTCTTAATGCCACAGAACATGCAGCGAACATGCATCCAGCACTTGAAGGCCGCCCCGAGGCTTCGGCGAATGGGGCGGCATAAAAATGTTTCAATAAATAAATAAATAAGGATTGTACAAGAAGCAAGAACCAGTCAGAATAAGCCTTCAGACCTCACACGCTTCCTACCTTGCATAGAACTTGGAATGTGCATCATGGTTTACATTGGGATGTTCAACCTCAAGACCACAGATGGAACCAAACCCACCTGGAGCCCTACTCCAGCCGTTTGGGGTTCCCCAGAGGGCCATGGCTCCTTTTGTAGGCTCTGCCCCCTTATCACTAATAGTTTGGTGATTTCCAGGCTTTGGTACATTTTATCGTATCATAAACAGTTGTGATAACTCTCCATGTAAGCATTACATCCCTTAAAGCCTATGTGAAGAGATCCCAGGTCATATAGAATGTTTTGTGCATAAGGGTGAAAGTGCTTGCATCAGACGCTTGTTCCTGTACCTTGCTGTGTCCAACCTACATACCGGGCCATGTGCGACTCCGTCCATAGTGTGAGCCTTGGTCTCTCACTGCATATATGCACTGTATCTAGGATAAACCCAGACTATAGGATTTACCAATGAAGGGAAAGACATCTTTGAATTTTGGCAGATGCTAGAACATTGTAATTACCAATAACATATCAACACATGAGGTGCATAGAGGATGTTCATAAATATTCCTGAGTGGCAGATGTCTCTATTACTGAAATAAGTAGAGATATCTGGTACTGATGGATAGTTTTGCTTCAAGATAAACAGTTTCAAAATACACTGATCAGAAATTATTAAGAACATGCAAACGTTCAGTCAGTGACTCAGTGCAGCTTCTCTTAATATAATGTTCTTGAGATATATCGGATCACAACTCCAATATATCTTGGAGTTGGTCAGCCCTGACCAACATGGCAAATAGTCTGAGTTGTACTCCAAAATAACAATGGGGCAGGCACCAGGTTAGGAAGACTGACTCAGAATTACTTTTTTTTTGGTCTGGCTGGCATTTTGTTTTTATTCTGTATAAAATCCTCATTATTACCTTGATCTGTACAGATGAATAACAACTGACACATCTTTTTGTGCATTTGTAACTTCCTTTACATACTGTTCACCAGAGATTTCTCTGAGTTCTCCATATCTTTGTCTTTTTTGTAGAGATTTTAATTCTTCTAAACGTTGTTTCCTAAATAAAAACAACAACAACTTAGGGTATTATTTAATAACAACAACAACAAGAATTCATTTGGAGATAGAGTGTAAGTGTGTTATGATAACTGAATCACTCCTTTGTTAACAGGTTTGAAGAAAGTTTTTGAAAAAATTGTTGTTAGTTATGGGAAATACGAGTATGTATCACAGAGCCGCTTATATGGGCAGTCGTTTCATGAATGTGTGAAATGTACATTTGGAAATTATGTATTTGAAAGTTCCTTCAGATCAGAATTTTCAGGGTTTTGCTGATAATAAGTACATTCCTACTATTTCAAACATAAACAGAACTAACTTTTCTGTTATCATCTGGTATAATGATATCCTACTGGAGACCAAGGTCGAGATCATTGAGACTATTGTGTTCTCAATCACAACCTATGAGTGTCAAAGCTGGACAGTGAAGAAAGCTGACAGAAAGAAAATTGTGTTTCAGCCATGGTGTTGGTGAGTTTTGCAAATATCCTGGGCCAACAGAAAGACAAGCAAATGGGTCCTAGATCAAATCAAAGCAGAGCTACCCCTAGAAGTAAAAACTGACAAAACAGGCTGTCATACTTTGAATGCATCAGGAAACAGCAAGACTAACTGGAAAAGACAACTGTTAGGGAAAGTCAAAGGCAGAAAGCAAAAGGGAAGACCAGATACGGGCCAAATTGAATCCATAAAGGAAACCACAGCCTTGAACTTGGAAAAGCTGAATGGAGCTGTCATGGACAGGGCAATCTGGAGGGCTTTCATTCATAGGGTGGCCATAGGTTAAAGACTACTTGATGGGATACAACAACAATAATAACAACAACATTTTTATTTGCATATTTTAAATCAAAGAAGCTGGCCAGGGTTACATGTGGCAAGTGAGTGTGTGTTAGTGTTTTGTGTAAAGCCTACATTATAGTTTTATGAATGTACAAATTATTCTACATAGATAATTTATGAATTATCAGTACATGAAAAGAGTGCACTGTATAAACCCTGTTATAGGGTGTTGGCTATGAGCAATCCAGGGTTCTCTTCTTGGGTTGTTTATGGTTAACAAACCAGAGTTAAATCATAGTTCAGGGTTTGTATCCAATGACAGTGCCTGATTCAATGATAACCCATACACAATAAATATTTAACTTGCCATTCCCATTATCTGGGTTGTTCAGTATGACCCTGGTCTTTTGGCTGGAATCCTATACCCAAGTTCTGGGAATATGTCCTATTGAATTCAGGGCACTTACTTCTGAAAAGTTATGTATAGAATTGTGTTATTTTGCTGGTGGAGCTTTGATGTTATATACATTTGTTGATACTCGTATATTACCATGATTGGTGATTTAGACAGACAGACACCAGACATTAAATTACTTCATGTGAAATATTGTATAAATATTTCATGAATATCTGAATCTACATAATGTAATTACCTGCATCTTGACAATGTCTTTATTGTATAGAATTGAAACATAATAAAAGACATTGGTTTTCATCAGAAATACTACTTTTGTGGAACATAAGCAAATTAAAACAATTTATCAGTTTGGCCTGCTATCCTAAGCAAACTCTTCTGGGAATAAACCCAGTTGAACTCAGTGTGGAGTTATGTCTGAGTACTCATGCAGAGGATTGTGTCATAAAATATTAAATCAATTAAGAGTTATTAGTGGGATTTCTGTCTTAATAAGCAAGCAAACAAATAAATCCTGGAGCCATGTTACAGTGGCAGCATAAATTTATCAGATATGTGGCCCAAGCAAGAAAGCTGCCAAATAGCACAATGTACCAAAAAATAATTTGAAGAATACCGGGATGGAGCAGATGTTACAAGCACACTGTCCAGAAACAAACTGAAGCAGGCAGGGGACAAGACATTTTTAATATGAAAGCACTAGGTGGCACTATTCATCTATAGAAATCCTTTAAGAAATCTTTTAATTAAAGAAATCCTTTAATTTGAAATGGAAATTGTTCTTTTGAAATGAACTTAAGTCTTTTAAATGATCCAATAATGTGGAACTAACTAATGGGGGGAGAAATCAGATACGAATGAAGGCTACTTCTTTTTTCTATATTTAATCACCAGGTTAGAATCTTTGTCTTTCTTGCCGGATATTGGATTTAAATATGTTAATAAGAAACGTGGCTTACCGATACATTTCAACAGCTTTCATATCTTCCTCATCAAATACATCTTCAGCTTCTTTCAGTTGTTTCATAGTCATTTTTTCATATGGCTTCACTAAAAAAGAAAATGACTGAATAAAGAATTAAACATTAATAGCAAACATAATTGATGTGCATCTGTCATGGCTGGCCTGGGTCCAGTCCACAACAGATCTTCCTCAGAAATGAAACCAACTGGTATGGAGTACGAATGGGACAGGTAGAACCCCAGTTCCAGCAATTACTTAGTACCCACCACATTCTAGGAGAGGCCCCACCAAGTTTGTCTGCAGAGGAAGACCAGCAAGGACCTCTGGAATTGCTCTCCTTCGTAAATGTGGTGGATGCCCCACCTGGAGAATCAGAATGGCAGCTGAACTGCCTCCAAGCCCCTAAGAATATCAACACCAGAAGCTGCAGGCAAAAGTGGTCACTGGGTGAAGTTTTCACCCCAATGCACAAAAAACCAGGGAGGTTTTGGAACAATGGATTTCTTGGAAGTAAAGGCCTCTACAAGTAGAGGGAGACCTTGAATGCTCGAGTTACCAGCTGGGCCTGGGTAGACTCTGGTTCACCTAGCTATATCAGTCCTGAATTAAATTTTGCTGGAACCACCCAGGACTTCAACTCTGCCCAGCTTTTGAACTTGCTTCCCACATTGACTAACTTCCCATGCTATGGTCACCTAGAACTCTGTTAGATTTTGGTTTTGGAATCACACCTGCCCTTAAGATGCCTCCTCTGGGCTTGACTTCAGTTTATCCTTGAGTTCCTACTCTTTCAAACTGTCCCAATACCTAACCTGTTATCAGTATTTTTATATTCCTGCCATGAGAGAGTGAGAGGTCAAGACAGGACTCAGTCTAGGCTGGACAGTGGCCAGTGTGTAGAAGAAAATGCCTGAACACCTGTGAAAAGGGAATGACCCATGACAATTTCCCCTGACAAATTGGCAATTTGTGCTGAGGCAGTGGCAATAGTTGGGAGTGATGAGCCTGGAAAACCCCAGTTCAGATCTCAGTCCAACCAAGAACTTAACAGGAAGCCTCATCAGGCCTTGTCCAGTTCTCTTTCAGGTGCTGCCAAGCAGGTGTCTCTCTTTTGTTGCAATCATTCTGCCTCATCTGCAGAATTGCACAGGGCATCGTCCCCTTCACTTTTTAACCCTCCTCAGTTCTGGAACCAGCATAAAGGTTCTGGAGGTGAGGGCAAAAACAATGGATGATGGATGTTCATTTGCTTTGCTCACTTTTAAAGATTAAATTGTAAACTGTTCTTTATGAAAAAGTAGCTGGGTGCCGAGAAGATTTAAGGTGGGAACCAGGCCTACTCAGCCCACCCTTGGCTAGCACCTCTTCTGTCTTTCTTATTACCCAAGAAAATCCACTGATGATCAGAGGAAAGAGCTGCACCGTGTCTTTTGATCTGTAGCCCTTGGAGTCCTCCATGTCCACCAGCCTTTCAATGTGCAATATGGAGATGGTAATACTGACCAGTTTTCTAGGATTTCTGGAAACAATTTTCAAATTTTCTAGGATTCCATGGTTTGCACAATCAAGGGATAGTGGTTAGAGTGTTTGGCAAGAAGAAGGGAGATTATTTTAAATGTCCATAGCTACAAAGCATGCTGGGTAATCTTGGACTAGTCATGTTATCTCACCCCAACATTCCTTTCAAGATGTGATGATCAAAGAATGGAGGAGAACTTTGTTTGCCACTCAGCACCTTGGAGAAAGGATGGAATAGAACTGCAGAAAATAGATACCTATATAAAAAGCACTTTCCTGTAGGATTAATTCTAAAACAAGAATGAAGAAAGTTACCCTGGGAAGTTTAAAGCACTGAGCTTGTGTGTGTGTTACTGCAAAGAAAATACCCAACCATATGCATGTAATCTCCAGAGCCCCCCATTAAGGTCTAGCTTATTTTTTATGTTTTGTATTTGCTTGTAAGTTATCCTGAGGGCATGTATGGAAAGGCAGGACCTAAATGCCATACACAAAACAAATAAAATTAATTTTAAAAAAATCTAGTTCCCCAAGGAGTGTCTGAAAATGGAGACTAAATGGAAGCCCCATGCTTACAGAAAACCTGTTCATGGCTATTAAGTGCAATAAACTCTCGGCAGAAGTTATTTCCAGATGTGAGTTAATTATGGCAGTGTTAGCAAATTTACTGAGGAAAAGCATGGCGTCTCAGCTTTCTGTTACTGAATTTCTGCATCCCCTTTAAATAAAATATCAGGATCTCTCATTTGAATGTTTCTGCCATGATAAAAACTTCCTGCTTGTTGAAAACTAGAACTTCAGAGAAAATAGAAGGTTACTTAGGATAGAACCTTTCCACCTGGCATACCAGCTTTCTATGGGCATTGTTTAGTGTGTAGATTTTAAACAGTGTATTTCCCTTTCTGCACTCTCAGTACAGTCCCAGAAAGGCTACAATGACCCATTATGAATGATCAGACAACCTAGGCTTAGCAAATCATGGGTTGTTTGCAGGGCTTTTTTTGTCATAGAACGCACCAGAACAGCGTTCCAGCAGCTTTTTTTGATGGGTTTTTCCCAAGGGATTGTTCCAAGTGATTGTGAATTGCCCTGTCGGGCATAGCTGGTCGGCGGCAAAAATCATTAAAATAGTGCATGTGGGCTGCTTGTGTGTCCGTGCTGATTGTGAGGGCGCTGCTCGGCTTGGGATTGGTCGTGTGGTCGCACGCTGAGTGCTGACTGCCGGCAGCGACCATTATGTTTATGTGTGTGTAGAGTGACTGGCTACGTGCAAAAGGTAAATAAGTTCTTTATGTCAAAAAAAAGTTGGTGACTTGAAAATCTTTTTTAGTGTAAAAGTGTGACCCCAGGATGTGCATTCCAGCACTTTTTTTTTTTTTTACAAAAAAAGCACTGGCTGTTTGTATGCACACGCTGGCTTCTTGATCACTTGCCAGCTTGATTGCTAAGCAATTTGAACACCCTATTCCTAGATTGTTCCCCATGACACCCAAGCCTAGATCTTATTTTGCATTTAAACTATGGATTGTTTCTCTGCAGCTCAGCAGCTCTGAGTTCCACATTTGAATTCAGAATAACCAACCTGGGAGCATGGTGTTCCTCTGCTGTTTAGGAGAGCAGAGGCAACTGAACAGGCAGGAGTTAGCATGCTGATACACTCCTGACAGCTTGCAAACCATGGTAAACAGTGAGTTATTCGATTGTCCGAACCAGATCACCATGTGCCTTTTTTGAATGTGGAGATCAACCTCTATATTATATTAAAAACCTATCAGAGATACCTAACATCACTTCTATGTTCCACTACAGTACTTAGTATGCTGCTGAAATAAAATGATGTTGATTTGAACAATTAATAGCACTCCAACTATATTTACCTTCTGCTTCTTTCTGTAAACGTAAAACCATTTCTTCAATTTCATCCTTTACCTCTTCTTTTGGAGGCAGGATCCCAAAATCTCTTAATATGTCATTCCATTCTGTATCTTCATTTGGGTCCTTTTGAAATAGAAGCCAAACATATTGCTAATCTAGTATACTTTTATTTGGATCCAAAAAATGTGATTAAAGCTCTGCTGACACAACCATGCTTTCCTGACACTTCCTTCTCCTCAGAGACTCTGAAAGACCTCTTTTAAGGTGACCTTCTGGGATGGTACACAATGTGATCAGATGGGCAAGAGCAACAGGAAACAGAAAGCAGCAAAAACTGAAGAATACATGGTGGAAGCGCCTTCCACTTGAACAAAATCAAGTTTGGACTCACACTTCTGTTGAGTGACTAGAATACATGCTTTACATGCAGAAAGGTCCCAGGTTAGTTTCCCATAATCTCTTTTCTGAAACCCCGTATTTTCTATCTGAAATTTTTGCTGTTTTTAGTACTTTGGTAGCAGGTACAAAACAGCTTCTTCTATTTGGCAAGAAGAAACAACTTTTGCAAAATAAATAAATAAAAATAAAAAGTGCCTAAATTACACAATTGTGAAAAATTACACCATCTGGGTTGTTCCATGATGTGCCTAACAGATGATCAAGCTCCTTGTTGTCCCCCACTCCCGTCGCAGTCCTCCTGCCACTATCCCAGGGAACCTGTTGGCTGAACCCATCCGGTCTCATCATTCTGGTTATGATCTCTTACTGGTCACTTCCATCACTGCCCTCTACCCCCACTCTCTCTTCCTTTTGAAGACTGTTCTGAACTATCTCCCAGTGACAGCCTGGCGTCTCCTGAGCACACAGACCTCCTCTTCAGCATTGTGATCCTCTGGTTTTTAACTATTGCCTGCCCAGTTATCTGCACCTGCCACCTTTTTCACAATTCCACACGTCTCTTGGTATGCTGGAAAGTTAGTATCTACAAGCATGCCTTTTTGCAAAGGGTTGTTCTTTAAGTAGAGTCTTTGACAGGGCTAATCGGGGTTGTTCTGACAGATTTCATGGCTATAAAAAGTGTTCTGGCAGATTTCACTTAAAACCCCTTTCTTTTGTCAGTCGTCAAAAGGAAATTCTTGTGAAAAGAGGGTTTATAGTCTTATATTCTTTAAGTACCTAGAGGCTGGGGCAAGTGTGAAAAAGGTGGAGGCACTGAGAACAGCCAGGGAAATACTAGAAAACTAGAGGGATTACACCAGAAGGAAGATGTACAGTGGTACGTCAGCTCACAAATGCCTCAGTTCATGACCAAATCGGGTCGCAAACAGAAATTTCATAAAAATTTTGCCACAGGTTGCAAACTCCGCATCAGGTGATGATCGCGAGTGCGCCTGCCTTCCCTGCACAGGCGCGATTGCAGTCGTGCTGGGGGGGGTGGGGGGATGGCCGTGATCCTGCTGGGCAGGGAGATGGCCACGATCGCACCCATGTTTTCCGCCCAAGCGTGCCCACGATCGTGCCCATCTCCCCCCCAGCACGCCCATGCTTGCACTCGCCTCTTCCCCAGCATGCCCACAACTGCACCTGTCTCCCCCCCAGCACACCCGCCCCTGCACCCGCAATTGTGCCAGTCTCCCCCCCCCGAGCACGCCCGTACCTGCCTCCCCCCCAGTGTGCCTGCAATCACACCAGTCTTCCCTGCCCTGCATGATTTCTGTTGCAGGGGGGATGGCTGTGATCTTTGTTATCCTTTGTCACTTTGCTTCAAATTTTTGTGAGTAAAAAAAAAAAAAATAGTTACAGAACGGATTAACCTTATTTACATTGACCCTTATGGGAAAATTTGACGGCTCACGACCAATTTGGATCACGACCAGAGTCCTGGAATGGATTAAGTTTGTGAGCCAAGGTACCACTGTAGTTGCCAACCCTTTCACAAGCAAATATCCTCTTGCAGCTTTGCCTTTGCCCAGGTAGCTTGCTGCTTGACAACTGCCAAGTGAAAAGCAAAGTAACAAATTAATCTAATTGCCAGCTTGTTTTGCCCATGGATTTTGCCTCATACAGTTTAAAAGGAAGCACTTACCAGGACATTGACCAGGCAAGACTTTGGATTTTGACTAGAAAGTGGCATTCACTGTACAAAATACAAAACTCATTTGTACACATTTCTGGTACCTAAAATAAATTTAGAAGTGCTGGTTGGGCACTTTGAGGGAGCTGTCATCGGGGAACATTGCAAAAAAGAAAAATGAAAGGGAAAACATGGTGGTGGTGACTGGGAAAGGATTGCAATCAGAGAAGGTAGAATGGACCAGTGACAGTTTCTCTCAGGAATCATTTGCGCATTGATGCAGTGAGTGCCAGTGGTGGTATCACAGGCAAACTCAGCAACAGTTGGAAACTATTTTGCTCTCGCTGAGCAGTTTGCTCACTGTTTCCCTTGATCTACTATATCAGTCTCCAGATATAGATAACACAACTGATTGTGAGGCAACCATCTCCTGGAATAAAATGTGTTTCAGGTTAGGTTGTGCCTGAATAATAAGCCATCCTTCAGCAACCTACTAGGTTTGGACACAGTGGCAAACTACCATGGCTAGTTAATGGTGGGTTGTTATATTGTGTGAACCAGATCAGTGATGAGAAAAAGGCTTCACCTGAATTATGCTACCAAAATTCAAGGTGAATAGATAAAAGTCACATCTTGCTTGGCCACTTCTTCCGATTAGGCACTTGCTTCTTTTATCCTACAGTGACAGATTTGCTACAATGATCTACTCTTGCAAGATCCAGGCTAGATGGCTGTAATGTGTTTTGCTATATTCAGGGTAGCACAGGGCTTTGCTCTCTTAACAATCTTAGGAGAGCTGTTTCAAATCCTCTTCAGAAATTCTCAGTGCATTCAGTTCTTCTTCCTATTTCCACTGTTTTCAACCATGTACATGGGAGAGCTTGGGTGTAAGTCATCTATGGAATGCAACAGGCAATGAACAAAAGTGTATGAGTGGGAGTCTTAGTCACACACTTTGGTCGTAGATGTGCATGCACATTCTGTGTGCTACTAGGACCTTCCAGGCAGTCCGAGAAAGGATAAAGTTGGTACAGTAGTACCTTGGCTCACGAACTTAATCCATTGCAGGACTCTGGTCATGACCTAAATTGGTCGTGAGCCAAGTTAAATTTCCTCATAAGGTTCAATGTAAATAAGGTTAATCCATTCTGTAACTATTTTTTTAATCAGAAAAATGTGAAGCTAAGTGACAAAGAACAGCAAAGATTGCGGCCATCTCCCCTCTTCACCCCGAGCACGAGTGCAGCCATCTCCCCACCTCCCCCGTCATCCCTGCATGCGCCTGTCATCCTGGCGCGCTGGGGGGAAGGAGATGGGCATGCTCAAGGGTGCGCTGGGCGGGGGAGAGACGGGTGCGATCGCAGGCACACTCGGGGGTAGGGGGAGACAGGCGCGATCGTGCTGTGGGGGGAGATGGCCGAGATCGCAGTTGTGCTTGTGTGCGATCTTGGCCATCTCCCCCCCCCACCCCCAGCACAATCACAGCCATCTCCCCACTCAGGGGGTGGGGGGGGGAGATGGCCATAATCGCAGTCCCCACCCAATGCGGAGTTCACGACCTGAGTCAAAATTTTTATGAATTTTTTTTTCGCAACCTGATTTGGTCATGAACTGAGGCGTTCGTGAGCTGAGGTACCACTGTAATATGTTGGCACCATTTGAATATATGTTCTTATGGCAGTGATTCATTATAGCAGCATTGTTATTATTAAATGTATTGAAAGGCCTAGTTGAAAGCATCTGATCCTGATTTGGTACCTTCTATATGTTTTTAACTCCAATTCCCAGCATTTTTTACTATTGACCACGCTGGCTAGGACTGATGAGAGTGCACCAAGTTGGGGAAAATGGATTGAAAGAATAGTCTGACCTGCTGGTTTCATACTATTAGGGAGTAGAAAAGATATGCTAACTGTACACAAAATTGAAAGGATTGATTTCTTTTAAATATTTTCATTAGAAATTTTGGACACTAATAGCAACCACAAACCTCTTGTTTTGCTCTATTATCATTTCAGCCAGGAGGGCTTTATAAAAGAGCTTTTCTTGTCTTTATTCAAAATCCCAGGCAGATTGCAAAGATTATACAGCTAGTTGAAGCTCTGGATAGATAAATTAAATCAGAGGCAGTAGCCTGCTCCTTGTTTCTTCAAATAATGATAGATGCCTTTTCTCCTGAATGCTGAAAAAGGATTATTCTGAGATTATTCTAGTTATGGCTTCCCATAACTAAAGCTGAGGCAGCCTTTAAAGAAAAACACATAATTGGGAATTCACATCCCAGAATTTAGAAATTGTTAAAGAATCATCAGTTGAGTGTGCATTCAGAAGAGCACCCCGGTGGGACATATTAGCACCATTGAATGAAATGTGTTATGGACTGAATAGGGCAGCTGAACAGAGTGGCAACTTTCAATACAGGCAGGGCCTGCTGTTGGAATGTTCCTCTGCAGGTCTCCCACCATTCATGCCCATTTCCAGACCACTCCTCTCCGTACCCTGTTTTACTCCAGAAATACAGCAGCATTCCATGCCCAGTGAAGAGGTTCAGTCCTTGTTGGACTGTCTTGGGGTGGGAGTTATTCTTTTGAAGGTTTTTGCTGGAGCAGCGATTGTACTTCTGCAAAGCATGTGTTCCAAGCTTGCATGTAGATGGTACTATTGTGACTACATGAGGAGTCATGTTGATTTCAGTATTGGTATATAACAAGGATGATGTTATGTGTCATCAAGGCTTGGCGCTGTTCATTGCAGCATCCCTACTCCAAAAATTGCATAGTCATAGGGGATGCCAGGCATGTACACAGATAAAAATGCCAGTTTTATGATTAAAATATATTATTCCCTATCAAATGGTGCTTATTCCCAGGTGAATCTGTTTCAACATCAGGACAACAGAACAAAAGTCTACTTCAGCCCTCTGGTCATGGTGGTGCTGGCTTGATATTAAAATGCAAATCGCTCATGCTCGCAATATCTTTTTTTAAACTGGGGTTGGTAGTGTCTGCGTTTTGCATTAACATATCAGATAGATATAAGTAATTATGAT